CTCAGCGGCGGCGGCCGACTGCGCCTCATCGCCGCCCGCCATCTTGGACGCGCGCGCCGCACAGATATTTACACACGACAGGCACAACGAGTACGGTTAGTCGCGGCCGTCAGCGAAAAGTTAACCCGCGCACCGACGGGGGGGGGGCGGATATCCGCCCCCCCCTGAGGTTTTTCGCGAATAGCAGGAAAACCGCGGCGCGTAGCGCCGCGAAATTTGGTATGACTATTCCCTTATCAATTTTACACATGGTGTGCAAGTTTGAACCTCCTACCTTTCAAGGTCAGGTCACCAGGTCACTTTGAATGACCCAACCTCAAGTCACTTTTTTGCAACTTTGTCACCGTGCCAGAGCTACAGTAGATGTCGGAGGCCTTTGAAAGTCGCAGGATGTTATTAGGTCATTAGTAGCTACAATTTGTATATCTCGGAATTTTGATATCGGTGACCTAAGGTCAGGTCAATTTCGCGACCTCCCCATTATAAGTCAATGGGGGAAAAATCAACTCCCTGTTTTTACCACTAAAACGGGTCGGAATGGCCCCATATACCATACATGACTTCATATACGATCAACCTTCACTACCTTGAGGTCTGTTTTGCTGTTGGGCAGCTGTGAGGTCATGTGACGTCATCAAAGGTCACCAAAGGTTTTTGGCCAATAACTCCGTACAGGAACAAGATACAGACGCGTGGATGGTCTCATTGTGTTCAGCTCGTCAAGACGCATCGAATGATATACATGATGACCTCGAGGTCACGTGACCTGAGGTCAACCTTTGACCTTGACCTTTCGAGGTCAACATATATATCATTCGATGCGGATTGACGAGAGGATCACGATGATGCCCTTAGTTTGTTCCTATCTTGACTAATTCGAAAGTTATTCGAGAAAAACTCTCTCCATATTTAGCGCCGCCATTTTGACTTTTTCGACCCCTGTGACGTCATCTTTGACCTGACCTGAAAATGACCTTAGTAAAAATTGTAGATCTTGACCGTGCGTATCCGATGCCGTTTACCGCTTGTCGCTATCTTGCTTCGTTCTCGAGATCTCAGGGGGGGGGCGGTCATCCGCCCCCCCCCCCGTCGGTACTAAGTTGGCGCAGACCCCCGTCGGTGCGCGGGTTAATAAAAGATTACGAAACCGACCGACCGCGCCATGTTATGGTCGATTCCGGTGGTTAATTTAGCACTGTCGCGGCGATTTATCGGGAGCGGCGGATTACCTTCGAAACACAATGGCGGCGACCATGGAACTGTTTATTGTTTCTGTGCTTCCATATGACCGGGGGGTGATACCAAATGAAGGGAAGGGAAAACGTGCCCCATCACAACAGCTGACGCCCAAGCTGCGATATCAACCATCTATGAATAAGTGGCAGCGGTGGCGGCTTGTCAGCTGTTAACGTGCCTTAACAGACGTTGCGAATAGCCCGCGTTGGAATCGCATGGTTGGGAACACAACGCAAGTAAAAATGGGCTTCCTTGATGAACCTACTTTTTAAGCATTGTAGCCTTTGTAATTTTGGATGTTTTGCTGTAGATATTATTTTCTACATATATACTTTATAGGCACTCACGTGCTTTAAATCGCGCAATGCAATTGAACCATGGTAAAGACAATGATAAATGAACTGAGAGCTGACATGCCCCATGCTTTGCGTGTGTATGTGTAAGGGTGTGTGTGTGTGTGTGTGTGTGTGTGTGTGTGTTTTTTTTTTTTTTTGGCGAGTCGATAAAAGTGGTTTTGGACACTGGATGAGTTTTTAGGGGTGTGGTGAGGGGGGATGTAATTCCACAGACCTTCTGTCAGATTCACTAATGCAGTAGGTCTGTGCGGTGTTTAGTTATCGGAGCATTCTTTGAAAGTCGTGAAAAGGGCCACCGAGTACCTAAAGCCGTGATATTCCCCCACAAAAAAACTTCTTTTAAATAACCGGGGATAGGTACATGAGCAGAGTAAATGCTATTACGAACGCCTATCACAATGCTGAGCGAATAGGAAAATCCATAGATGGAGAATTGTGCCGCGTTACGGGTGCTCGGGCGCAGCCAATCCACCGTTACCCTGTGGACGTGTGGTATTGGAATTTGCATCTCGCTTGTGTGCTCGGGTGGCCGGCCGCGAGCTGGCGGCGCCTCGGCTCGCCGGGCGGCCGGCCTGCCCTGGGGCGGTGCGGGCCGCTCGGCGGGTCGGGCGGCGGGCGGCGCGGGGAGTCGGTTGCGGGGCTCGGTGGAAGGTGGACGGTGAATACAGGCGTGGAACGGCTACATGTTTTGACGGTGAATGAAGACGGCGAACGGCTACATATTTTGGGGGCTCGTCTAAAAGCCTAGCAAGTTCACATGAAGTACGTGCCTGTGATTCCACCGCGCTGTGATTCCACGCTGTGATTCCGCGCTGTGATTCCACGCTGTGATTCGGTGTTGAGATTCAGCGTTGTGAGTCTGCGTTGCGAGTCTGGGCTGGAGTCGCTGCGTCGCGAGTCGAGAGTCGGTGTCTAGCAAGCCAGCAAGTTGACGCCTAGCAAGCCAGCAAGTCGGCGCCCAGCAAGTACTCGCGCTCACGTACTGAGCTCTACATTATCCGCGCCACGTTGGGTCTGCGCCGCGCCGCTCCACGTCGAGCCTGCTCCGCGCCGCGCCACGTTTGGCCGCGCCGCGCCTCTCGTCGTCGAGGCTGAGCCTGCGCCGCGCCGCGCCACGTTTGGCCGCGCCGCGCCTCTCCACGTCGAGCCTGCGCCGCGCCGCGCCACGCCACATTTGGCCGCGCCGCGCCACTCCACGTCAAGCCTGCGCCGCGCCGCGCTACGTTGGCCGCGCCGCGCCTCTCCACGTCGAGGCTACACCGCTCCGCGCCACGTTTGGCCGCGCCACGCCTCTCCACGTCGAGCTTGCGCCGCGCCGTGCCACGTTTGGCCGCGCCGCGCCTCTCCACGTCGAGCCTGCGCCGCGCCGCGCCACGTTAGGTCTGCGCCGCGCCACGCCACATTTGGCCGCGCCGCGCCTCTCCACGTCGAGCCTGCGCCGCGCCGCGCCACTCCACATCAAGCCTGCGCCGCACCGCGTCACGTTTGGCCGTGCCGTGCCGCTCCACGCTGAGCCTGCGCCGCGCCGCGTCCAGTCTGCACCAGAACGCGCCGCTTACGTCGGGCCTGTGCCGCGCTCTGCCGCTCCGCGGGCTCGCCAGTCGCCACCATGTCGGACGCCGAAAATGACAGCAATCGCGCGGAGGAACTTCATGAGCTGAGGGAACAGCTGGCGACTGCTCTTCAGCGCATCACTGAGCAACAGCAGTCCATACGTGACCTGAGCCGGCGCCTGGAGCTGTCGCTAACATCAGCGGCAGCGGCGCCCGGTACGGCCGGGGTGCCTGTTCCCGAGTCTGCGGACAACCGGGGAACCCCGGCTCCGGCTGCATTATCCGGTGCTGCAGCCGACGGACTAACAGGTCAGCCTCTAACACTGTGTATGCCCGTGTGTCCGGATGAGAATGTGCCTCAGTTCACGCCGAATCGCTCCCAGACTCGGTTCGTGCCGCCCAATACCGACTCTGTACCATCGACTCGCTTTGTTGTACAGCAGGTTCATGAGCTGGCCAGTTTTTCTTTGGGTGGCAGGCAGTCCCTCGCTCACTATCTCGATCGATTTGAAGAGCACTGTGAGAATGTGTACGCAGGAAGTCTTGACCAGGCTCTGCCGTTGCTGAAATCCAAGCTTTCAGGACAGATTCTTGATGTCTTTGTGGCCTGCGGGGACGTCTTCAACCCCTACCAGACGGTGAAACGTCGGATGCTCGACTGGATGAAGCGGCAGGAGCTCTCTGGTAACTGCTCGGCACGCGATCGTTTTCGGTCGTGTAGGAGGAACCAGGGTGAGTCACTGGCACTGTTCGCGCTCAGAGTGGCCTCTGTGTATAACGATGCGTATCCCGATCAGGACATACAAACGTCTCAGGAGTTGCGTCAGCACTTGCTTGACAACCTGCCGCATCGTGCTGCTGACTACCTACGCCGACAGATTCACTATACACGCGAGATTCATGGCATAACCCTGACGCGGCAAAACCTGCTGTCCCTGTTGGAGCGTGAGAGGCTGGATGAGGAAGTGGTGTCTAACGCCGATCCATCTCTCTTCTATACAGCCGAGCAAGCGAACAGGAGCCGTTCATCACGGTCACAGCAGAGGAGGATGGTGTCTCCAGCCGCAGCCGCCCGGCGCCGGAGACATACGACGAGCAGCGAGGAACAACAGCGCGTCCAACAACCTCATCAACGAGAGCATTCCTCGTCTAACTCTTCAGCGACTGGCGATCGACGCCCACTGCTTCGCTGCTTCTTCTGCGGCCGCTTTGGACATGTTGAGCGTGAGTGTCGTCGGAAACAGGATCTCTGTTTTTCTTGTGGCCGCCCTGGGCATTATATGCGCGATTGTAACGTGCCCCGTTCGCGTCAGAGATCGCAGAGTGCCCCTCGCTCCCGTCATAGATCTCCAGTGGAGAATCAGAGAGCGAGTTCAGGCCCGAGTCAGCAAGTGCCATCTCCGGACCCCCCTGGGGGGAGAAGGTCAGGGTATGGTCGAGGGACCCGAAGACGGCGCAGAAATGGGTCAGAGAGACACAGGGATGGTTCCCGTTCAACTGGTTCACGTGTTCGTGATGATCGTTCGCCTTCTCCGGGAAACTAGCGGGTCCCACGTCTCCATCAGGGCAGGACGTGGTGACCGACTCGAGCCCTGTCTCCACCGAGTCTGTTGTGTCTGGCCGTTCATCAGGAGCACCTGTGTCGACCGGCTCAGAGCTGGATTCGGTGTTTGCGTCCGCTCTTGAGCCGGAGCACCTCCTTCGTTCCCGTGCCATAGTTTCAGGGCGATCAGCTGATGTCATCATTGACTCCGGCTCCTCACGGACTCTCGTCGCCAGTCATGTTGTATCTGATGGTGTCTTGCTTGCCAGAAGTGCTGCTCGGGTGCGTGCCATTGGGGGTTGTGTCGTTGAGCCACTGGGAGTTGCGACAGTCGACCTGAATCTGCATGGAGTGCACCTGGAGCTGACCGACTGTCTGGTGTTGTCTGACGCGGAGTCGCCCACAGATGTCATTGTTGGCCGTGACACGCTGGAGCGGCTGGGCTTGTGTGTGGACGTCGCCCGAAGATCGGTTTCTGGACGCAATTCTGATGGTTCCCATTGGACGGTTTACATGCCATTGAACCTCCAGCAGCCTGAGTGTATGATTTTTGTTGCTGACATTCCTTGCCGAGCAGCAGAAGATGTTGATATCGCCCCAGGGTGCTCAGTTGCTGTGCCCTACACCGTTCCCGAGCAGCCGCGCTGTTCAGAGTGTACGATCAGCCAGCGTCATCTTCTGTTTGAAGCACAGCCTGGTCTTGATGTCAGTCTTGTTCCTGGACTGGCGTGTGACAGTCAGCCCCGAGTTCTCGCCTGCAACCGTGGTCGGATGGCTGTCCGTATTCGCCGTGGTGAGGTTGTGGGTTACCTTGCTACTGCTGCAGACGCCAGCAAGGACTTGGAGCAGCCATGTGACGTGTTCTCAGTGAGTGAAGAGGAGAGCTGTGACGTGACGCTGTCATCAACAGAGGTTCCGGGACTGACGGTGTCGCAGCGCGCTGCTGTAGACGATCTATTTCAGCGTCACGCAGCAGTATTCAGCAGTTCTGCTTCTGATCCACTGCGCACGTCCCTGACTGCACACAGGATCGTCTTGAAGGACGACACGCCGGTTTACGTACCGCCCAGGAGGATGTCGCCGCCAGCAGCAGAGGAAATCGAGCGCCAGTGCCTGGATCTGGAGCGTCTGGGCATCATAGAGAGATGCGACTCTGCGTGGTCGGCGCCCGTTGTGCCAGTACGGAAGAAGGACGGATCTCTACGGCTATGTATTGACTACCGTCGACTCAACAAGCAGACGGTGGCCACCCGCTTCCCGATGGCCGACGTCACGGACTCAGTGTACAGCGCCCACGGCATGAAGTTCTTCACCACGCTGGACCTGGCCAAGGGCTACTACCAAGTGCCCTTGGAGGAGTCATCAAAGGACTACACCGCCTTCTCGACAGCACGGCAGCACTGGAGGTTCCGCAGGTTACCGTTCGGCTTGAAGAATGCTCCAGCAGCATTCCAGCGAGAGATGCAGACGGTGCTGCAGGGGTTCTCCAGGCGAAACCTCGTCATCTACTTGGACGACCTGCTCCTGATGGAGAAGAACTTTGAGAAGCATCTTCAGCTCGTGGACGACGTGCTCCTGGCACTCGAGTCGCAGGGCATCAAGCTGAATGCCAAGAAGTGTGTCTGGTTCCAGCCAGAAGTACCCTTCCTCGGCCACGTCATCAGTGAGCGAGGTCTGCGTAGATCACCAGAATACATCAAGAAGGTGCGCAGTCTGCCACGCCCTCAGACCGTGAAGCAGCTCCGACAGTTCCTGGGGGTGATCAACTTCCAGAGGAAGTTCGTGCGCCACTGTTCCAGCATCAGCAAGCCCCTGACGGACCTGACAGGCCAGCCAGGCCCCACAGTCATTACGTGGACGGACCAGATGACTGACGCCTTCGAGAAACTGAAGCAGGTAATGGAGGAGGAAGTCACGCTGGCCTTCCCCGACTACACAGAGGACGCGCAGCCTCTCACTCTTTGGACAGACGCGTCTCAGGTTGGGGCGGGGGCCTGTCTGACTCAGGAACAAGACGGAGAAACTCGTCACATCGGGTTTGCCTCAATGACCTTCTCTCGCTCACAGCAGAATTACTCAGTCACCGAACTGGAACTCGCAGCTCTCCGTTGGGGTGTCGTCAAGGCCTTCAAGCCATTCCTCGGTGGCGTGTCATTTAGAGTCTGCACGGATCACCAGGCACTGGTGTACATGCACAGCATGCATCTTGTCAACAGTCGGATCGCCAGGACGATGGAGGAGCTCTCGGAGTTCGACTTCACGATCTGCTATGTGCCAGGGTCATCCAACATCGCCGCAGATATGTTCTCTCGTGCTCACCCACTGCCGACGGAGCTCCCGGCTGTCTGTCGCCAGTTGCCAGTTGGTCTGGATCTGTACTACAGAGCTGAGGGAGGAGGTGATGCACTGATCGACTGCCTGTGCCACTGGATGGAGGAGAATGACCGCCGGCCTGCACAGAACCACCTGCTCCGAGAACTGCTGGTGGGCGAAGTGATGAAAGCACCGGGCAGGTTCAAGATGAAGTTGGATCGACGCGCACGACAAACACTCAAAAGCATGAAGGTCCCAGGTCAGCCGTTGTCTGTTGAGATGGTGGCGGTGTTCGCTACTCTGATGAGGGTACGGGTCATCGTCCACTTCGGTGGCCATCATCCCATGATCTTCACCGGTCCAGACGGGGAGGAAGTGGCTGGTCAAGCTCTTCATCTCCAGTGTCTGGGAGGAGTCCACTTCAACTTGCTGAAGGAGAACAAGAACTTCCAGACACAGAACACCGTCCTCGTGGCTCACATCCAAGAACAGGTGAGATCACAAATGATGTGTAGAGTCAAACTGCCAGAACGTGTCACAATGTGTGCGACTGAAGAGGGTGGTTCGCCTGAGGACGGTCTGCTTGTACACCCTCTCTGTGATCATCAGTCCAGCGCTTCATGCGCTGCGACCGTATACGTGAATGACAGACCAGTCTGTGCCCTTCTCGACAGCGGAGCAGCTGTGTCCATGGTCAGCCGCGCAGCGTTGGAGCTGATCGGCACCAGGGAGGCGGATGTGATTCCCAGCGCTGTATCAGTTCGAGGCATCGGAGGACTCACCAACTGCACCGGCTATCTCGAAGCAGACGTGGCCTTACCTGGGGACGGGGACCCACAAACGGTACGTCTGCTGATTGATTCAGATAACTCGTTCGGCCACTGTGTGTTGCTGGGTGCAAACTTCCTTACGTCTGCTTGTGTCGAGTTGGATTTTGGAAGGCGGCTGATAAGCAGTGTTTATGGGGAGCACGCCATGAGCGGTCACTGTGATTTCAAGAACACTGCAACCGGTCTGACTCTGGTGACGTCCTCGCAGGAATGCAGTGACGCTGAAGACGTTCTTCTGCCTGACAGCCGAGAGCGAATCCCAGACATCGCCTCTGTCCGAGAACACCAACACCAGGATCGTCTTCTTCATGAGCTCACTAGCCATGTTCGGCAGAAGCTGACAGAACAAGAATTGCCCAGAGAACTGGAACATTTCGGTAAGCATCTCAATGATCTGTTTGTCAGCAATGACTTGTTGATGTACCGTCACAGCAAGTATGGGGACCTACCTGTCATTTCCAAGCTCTGGCTGGCGGAACTTGTAACCGCAGCTCACCAGGGGATGGCTCACATTGGCAGGGACAAGTTGTTCGATCTGATCGCCAGCCAGGTGTTCTGTCCAGGATTGAACAAGGTTGTAGCCGATGTTGCCCGAAGTTGCCGTCAATGTCAGCTGTATAAATCGTCCCCTCAGAGGATCGCTGCACCTGTTCAGCGCCTTCAGAGTCGAGCACCTTTTGAGCTGGCTGCTGCTGATCTTGTGATGTTCCCTCGCACCCCACGTGGCTTCATTGGATGTCTTGTGGTTGTAGATCACTTCTCCAAGTGGGCGGTGGCGGTACCAGTAAGGAGGAAGACGTCTGCTGCGGTTGCAGTCGCCCTGGAACAGCGAGTCCTGCCAGTTCTTCTGCGCAGGCCTGCGCGACTTCTGACGGACAATGGTGGCGAGTTCGTGGGTCCGGAGCTTCAAGAGGTGCTGAGGAGGTGGGGGATCCAGCAGACATTCTCTACACCCTACAGACCGCAGGGCAACGGAGCTGTCGAGCGGCTGAACCGCACCCTGAGTCAGGAGCTTCGCATGTTGTCTGCCGACAAGCCTGGAGACTGGGACCTACATCTTCCGAAGGCCATGGCGACCTACAACGGGACCAGCCACTCTCAGCTTGGTGACTCTCCAGCAGATTTTCTGCTGAAGCAGAAGCACGGTGGCGTCAGCGTTCCGCTGGTATCGGTGGAGCGACAGAGCTGCTGGCGGCCTGGAAACCCGAGCTTCGCGCCATTCGAAGTGGGCCAGCTGGTTAAGCGGGAAACGCAGCGACCTGGTAACCTGCTGACTGGCAAGTTCGAGCAGCGATTCGACGGTCCCTTCAAGGTGAAGTCTCGGAACAGCAATGACGTCACCTACACTCTGGAGAGGGACACCGGAGCCGAGCTGAGGGCGCATCACACGCAGCTTCGCCCGTGGATAACTGCACCGTCCTACCTGCGCCGGCTCGAGGAGGTGCGAGAAGATGGAGAGGGCAGAGGCTGCAGCATGCACCCTCCTCTACCGGCCGGTGGGGTGCTGACTTCTGTTGGCTCAGCGGGCGAGCGGCGTCTTCCAGGCATCTTGAAGAACACTCGTCGGGCCCAGGATCGGTCCCAGCAAACGACGCCTCCTCGTGTGAGCAGCAGTGCCCAACAGACGACGCCTCCTCCTCGTGTGAGCAGCAGTGCCCAACAGACGACGCCTCCTCCCAAGAACGACGGCGCTCAGCTGGCTGTCTCCCGCCCACCGGCTAGCGCTCCTCAACAGAGGACTCGCGCGACCTCAGCGGCTAAGCGGACTGTGAGGTTTGATGACGTGGGCCGGGAGATACCCAGGCGGTCGGGCCGTGTCAGAGAAGCGCCAGATAGGTGGGGCTATAGTTAGAATGTCGTGTGTGATTCTTCTTGTTTTTGTTTTGTTGTTTTTCTTGTGCTGCCGGCAGTAGCCGACCCAGCTGATCCAGCTGCTGCTGCCTCCCTCTGACGTGCTCTTCGACTGGTTGTCGAGCACGCGCCTGTTGGTTTCTCCGCGTGCGCGGTGGACGTGACGCGTCACCCCACCGTATAATCGATGAAGCAGACGACCGCCTTCATCGTCACGGTGGCCGAGCTCGTCCTCAAGTTGTGTTGTGTTTTGGTATATGGCATAGGCGTTTTGTATCAGCGTGAGCGTAATGACGTGTTGGAAGAGGTTATGTGAATTGGCGCTGTTATGCTGTTATAACGGTGATTCTTGTGTTTTGGTCATAGCGGTGATCCTTGTGTTTTGATGTGGGCGAGATGCTAAAGGGGGGAGATGTGGACGTGTGGTATTGGAATTTGCATCTCGCTTGTGTGCTCGGGTGGCCGGCCGCGAGCTGGCGGCGCCTCGGCTCGCCGGGCGGCCGGCCTGCCCTGGGGCGGTGCGGGCCGCTCGGCGGGTCGGGCGGCGGGCGGCGCGGGGAGTCGGTTGCGGGGCTCGGTGGAAGGTGGACGGTGAATACAGGCGTGGAACGGCTACATGTTTTGACGGTGAATGAAGACGGCGAACGGCTACAACCCCAGCGGTGACCTTGACCCGCATCGTCTGTCTCGGCTCCAAAGCCAAACCGGCGTGGAATTGGGAGCGTTCGAGCACTCATGGTCCAGCGCAATTCTCCACCTAAATCCATTCCTGATACACATTTGCTTGCTCATAGTCATGTAACTCCGGTAAATTCACCCAACTTTCATATTGGTCGCTCCATAGACAGATGGCCACAGAGATCAACTTAAAAGGCCACTGTTGCATTCATTTAGTAGAGATCATTAAAGAGCCGTGACAGGCCACAAGTCGCGTGACATCATACGTGTAACGACCAATGACGTCGGCCTGCAAAACTCAATGGAAGCGGCTAGCAGCGTGCAATAAAACAGGGCGCTGCTTTCTAAATGTCTGTCGTGCGCCATAAATGAATATATTCTTTGTAGCCTGGCAACTCAGTATCTTTTTTTAACTATTGTACTAGTATTTAATAATTTCATAATTTTATAATTGTGCTTACGCTTTATGTTGATATTAGTGATAAATCCTTAGATAAAGTAAATCGATGTGATATTTAATAGAAAAATAGCAAACTAACGCACCATTCATTCGAAAGCTGGGGAACCTACTAAAAAGAACTACTAAAATTCCTGAGGAACCAAAGGATCAAATGGGGATTAAATAGATGCCTGCTATTCCGTCGTGAAAACGGCCAAAATGAAGATATTTGCTGTAAAAGAAATTAGGTGCAGATTTGGTCAAATCAGGTGCATTCCCCGGATAGCCCGTCGTGAAAGCGGCTAATGTGTGCCAGATAACCGTCTTGAAAACGGCGATTATGCATCTCAAATTGATAATTTCAAGCCATTCAGGCGAAACTTCATGAATCTTTACCTCTAGTCAACAACATGCTAAACTATTGATAAATAAAGGCTGCCGCCTTGGCACGACAAACTTTTTGTACATTTTTAGACCTCAATACGATGTTTGGTTACATTGAAAAAGTTGATTCAAAATGTTACGCAAGTTATTATATGTTTTATGTTTTGATCTGCCGAACCAAAAGAACTACGATGCAAAACTTTTTACGTCAACAATTTTGTATGAGCGAAAACACTCACGTCCGCTGAATAATCGAAATGAATAGCCACAGAAATATGGCAGCAGTTTAGCTCGGCGGGAGGTGGCGGGTCCCCTTTATCAGCCGTTACCACTCAGGTGGCACCCCGCTCGCAAACGACCTATGAGCCCGGCTCGTAAAGCCGACTGAACACGGTAAATGTTTTTCGCCGCCAGTTGCTTCACATTTCGGCATTCAATAGCAGTCGGTCTTTCACTGGCTTTAGACCGAATGGCGGGGCGGCTCTAATATCAAAGAAAGGCGACACCGCTGCTGACGTCTGCGATCGCGCAGTCGGCGGCAATCTGGTATAAAGTCACAGGCTACGCACATCGCAACGTTATCGTTATGATATTGGTGACCTGAGTTGATTGGTTATAGGTTTAAATGTTTGTAACATAATGCACAATTCGAACAGCACAGTCATATTTTAAGCTTATAACGAATTATTATCCTTATTCGCCCTTTAGTACATTCACATCATAGTGCACTTTCTATCAAGCTAACAAGCCGGTTGATGAAGTACGATTTTGTTTTCGTGCAATAATCAACTGAGATATTGCTTTAAACAGAAAACCCTTATAAAGGTCAGAAGTGCTGCCTGCATGCTACAGGAGGCGCTCCCATAAAAGTATATTGCAGACGTTTTATGGAGGGGCGTTTGCGTCTTAGCGAGCGTCTCCCCGAGTTGTGCGCCCTTTACCCGGCGCGAAGGCTCACGGAGCCGGGCCAGTGCGCCCCCACCACCGCACCAAAAACAAGCCGGCAAACACCTTTACTGCCGGCGCCGGAGCTCTGGCTGATTGCTTCCGACAGCCGGGCTCATCGAATTCGCAGCCCCCAGCTCGGCTCCCATTAACGACGCGTGCCTGAATGAATTTTAACTTTATCGTGCCCTGCTCCCGGCTTGTTTACCGCTCAGTCCGTAATCAAGATTAGAAATGGATGCTCTCAAACTTGGTCTTTATTGAATTGAGTTTCGCTGTTTTAACTTTCGGAACGGCGGACCCACATGTTTTGTATTGCGATAACCTATCTTTTGCTAAAGAGGTCTAGCAATATTTATCTTCTAGCGCACAGTCTAGAACTTATTTTCTTTGCTACGTAAATGCATTGGTCTCTAATTGCACATTTGCAATAGTTCAGATAAGGTGATCTTGGACCTAACTCAGAATTCAGATAAATAATTTCAATATGTCACATAGGTCGAAAACGGGTGCTTGTTGCTCACTTAGACCATTCACATTTCACACTGATTGGCGAAGAGATGCTTGACCCGTGCCTATCACTGGCCGACGCAGGGTTAGCATACATACTTCTGTGTCTGTTCTGGTCTGTGCCATGGTGCTTGGTCAGAAGTAACCTGTGACGTATGTACATACATACTGCTGGGTGCAGGGGCGACTGACCTGTGGCGTACTGCTGGGTGCAGGGGTGACTGACCTGTGGCGTACTGCTGGGTGCAGGGGTGACTGACCTGTGGCGTACAGCGTACTGCTGGGTGCAGGGGCGACTGACCTGTGGCGTACTGCTGGGTGCAGGGGCGACTGACCTGTGGCGTACTGCTGGGTGCAGGGGCGACTGACCTATGTCGCACTGCTGGTTGCAGGGGTGACTGACCTGTGGCGTACTGCTGGGTGCAGTCTCCAGTGGTGTTCTTCACCAGGTCGAGCTGTGGAAGCTCTATATGGTCCACGACCAGGGGAACCTTCGGGTCCCAGACGAAAATCAGGTCGTCGGTCGTGTATGAAACTGGCGAAAAGGAGACAATACAAATCAGAGGAGTTTCACCAATCACTATCCGAGGCCGGGGCGGGGCATAATAAATCAAACGTGTCAGGCAGTATAGGGGAGTTGGGCACATTCGTGCATGGGGCGCATTCGTTTTCAGCAGTTTATGGGAACACGAGTGACTGCACGAGCTCAAGGTAAATTATGGAAATATGTGTATCATTGCCTCCCTTTGTTCACCGTAGAAGACAACACTGTACCTGCTGTTATGCTTGATAAAAACGCAAATTTGTAATATTCGTGAGCTTTCCAAACTGTTCTCATGTCATCCATTTTCGTGATCCTGACTCGGAAATGTGGTTCAGCTTTTCAAAATTGGGGGCGAAGAAGCTCACTCTAGTCACGGAATTGCTGCAAACTTGTTTGTTGTAAAAGTGTCATTTTTTCAACAAGAAATTTTGAAATATATTACAAATAACGCTATGGGGCAGGTTCGTGTACGCACTGCCTGGGGGCACATACGTGCATATTTTTTTTATAGTTTTTGCGATTTATGACTTTATCTGTAGTAGGTTTCACTAATGACGCTCGCCTGACTCAGTCTCGGCTGCTTGCGACGTCGTGACGAGTAATTCACGCGAACTTGGCGAGGTCACGGAGGCCGGCAGTTGGCACATTCTTGTTGGCCAGCCCATTCCTTCTACATATGTTGTGCAATGCATTTTTGTCGAAAGAAATCAAGTGAAATGACCCCCTGCCAATTTCCTTTGGTAAATTTCTGGCAATGCCCAGTAATTTCTCGAACTTTGCAGGGTGCACGGAAGTGCCCCATCCCTTGCACGAATGTGCCCCATAGGTGGGGCAGTTTCGTGCAAATGTTTTGAGTTATTGAAAGCCATTTTTTTTTTCTAAAAGAAGCAATAATTTTAGAGGATAACTTTTAAGAGGAAAAATATCTGCAATAGTTCCTTTCCATACTACAATCAACAATTTTGCCGTTGCACTAACCAAAGAACAGATATACGGATTTATCCATTTTTTGCACGAATGTGCCCCACTCTCCCCTAGGTATGAAGTTATCATGAACATCGCACAGATCAGCCCGATGCGCTCGTTGTGATCCGCCTCTCTTTCACCAAACCCATCACCACTACCGCCACCACAACCGTCATCAACATCACCATTACCAGCACCGGCACCAGCACCACCAGCACCAACACCTCTGATATCAGCTCCCCGAGACGCGGCGGGCGATGTAATGACTCGTGAATTATCTGAGCGCTCAGAAAGGGTTGTGTGTCTGGGTGCGCGCCGAGTGTAGGTGGGGGCGCCCGGGCGCTCCCGTCCAATCACGCTCATGCATCACTGTCGCCAGCAAGCGGCCGCGTCTCCGGAGCATACAAGGCGAGGCCGGACGCGCTGTGACGACATCGCGCGGGCGGCCAGGGGGGCGCCGGGTGTAAGGAAGCTGGGTGTACGAGCATGAGAGGCTGGGTGTAGGGAGACTGGGTGAAGGGTGCAGAGACTGGGTGCTGCAGAATGCAGTGCCCACATTCAGATACAGATACTGGCTATAGAACGTGCACTTTGTTGATCCTAGGTTACTTGCCAGTGCTATGTTTATGTGTTCCAAGGGGAGCGAGCATTCACAATACTAAGACCGCTATCCCCGTCTCCCACCCCATCCCCACCGGAGCAAAAATGGCACACTGCAGTTGCTACTTACTGCTCTCAATCTTCATCGCACATTTCTGAGTGTCGTGAGGGTATCTCTTGAAGTTCATCGCGCATGACAACACCAGAGTCAGCCTGGAACAAGCAAACATTATGCACAGTTTTCGCATCTCAAGGTTTCAATTATTTGATACCTCAAAATGCGCAACAGCGGGAACGCAATGCTTAGGTATCGCCCGTAGAGTAGACACTTGCATTTTTTTATAAAAAGTGCAGGCAATGCTAAAAAAAAATATGGTAAAACTTAGAGAACTATAAGAATTACAAGGGTGAACATAAAAGCACACATGAACGACGCAAATGAAATGATTGCCAATCCAATTCTCGTTCGTCGCGTCTCGCTCGTCCGAATCAGTGCGACGCCGGGCCGCTGCCCTGTCAGTATCGCTGAGCGTTCGACCAATCAGGGCGCTGATGCGCGACATACGTCACCGGAAGGTCATTACCGCACCGCGGGGCCTTCATGGAAAGCCGGCCTGAGCTGTCGCCCGGAAAGGCGGTCTACCAGCCTTGTTAGCGCTGTCTGGGACCGGCTAGATTGGCATTAGCACCACATGATCAGACGGGAAATGACCAATCGAAACAAACTTGACGATCGATTCGGATGTATTTTCGAAAAAGGTAGTTAGTTGAGAAATGATTTTCACTATCCATGAACGTCGATTCAATCGATGAGTACCACGCTCAGCTTAGCAAGCTTTGTGAGGAGACGTAAAAACATGCCGCTTGTTCATGGAGGTCAGTTGCAGTGGTGATTGATTAAAGAAAAAGGTCCGTAGACAATTCAGTTCATGATCAATATTATTTCATAATACCTAATCTCCAATCTTGCGTTAAACTAGGCTTTTATTTAAAAACAAATTAAACCACGTTCAAGTGATCTCAAAATGGCACCCGTTTCCTGCGTATAATTCTGCTATTTCGTAAACAACTGTAACACTGTTTGCATCCACGATATGAGTAAGCGTTCTCCTAAGATGAACTCGTATCACGGTTGATTTTTTCGCTGCTACTCACTTTCCACTTTATTCGCAAGTGATGTCCAGTTAATAACCTAGAATGGCTGTATTTTAGCAAGAGTTTCATTAATCCTCAATCTAGGAACCCATCACCATTGTAACAGAGATTGATGAAAGCATTATTTTTCATCATCAGTACCATCATCAGTTCAGAATAATAAAAAACACTGATGAAATTGAGTTGCTACGGGAGATTGTGGAATAATTAGGTCGACAACTAATATTTCTTGTTGTTTTTTGGGAGGCGAGCATGTTAACTCTTTTTAGACGTTTATTTCGTATTGGAATGATTTCGCTGAGGACTAGATGCGGCAGGTTTCGGTTTTACACTACTCTCAACTCTGTCTTGCTTATTTCATGTTTTATTACAAAGTTGTAAGCACGACAATGTAGGTAAATGAGAGCGGGACTTGATGCAAAACAAAAACTACAGATTATTTGCATGTTTAGCCATGCTTATATTCAAATAACACAAAAGGGTAAGAGACTGTAGTGATAGAAGAGATAAAAAACGTTACCTACATCATACCTGAACTTGCCATCTCGGCCCAGACACCCTTAGCACAGGATTAAAAGTTCGCCTTTCTCCAAATCCATCATTTAGGAGCCGATGGTGTCGTTAATACCTTCCTATGAAGGCCTCCCACGGCTTTTAAACGGCTCACTACCCTGAAAGCCTCCACTGATCGCCTGCGTGACCTGGGCACGGAATCTGCCCAACTGACGGAGAGGTCGTTAGCTGGAGGGTTGGAGCCAAAACTGCTCACACACTGAAAAAAATCGGGGAACCCCATTTCTTACAATCTGACACCACATACTCCAAAATACTCCTAAATTAGGCTCCGTTTTCATGATTTTAGGATGTCATGGGTGTTGTGACACCCGACACGGGAGCCCCATTACCTTTTGACGCCGCAAAAATGTACATGACCCCCTTGGGAGAGGTTCGGCTAGCGAACTCCCCAAAAATTGCAGGCCAAAAAATTGGAGTGTCGCTGAGACACCCCCGTTGAAACCCCTCTGGGGTGTCATTATCCTGGAGTGACACCCCGTGTTTTCAGCTTCAAATCCTACCGATAGATGGCGCAAACTAAAGTTGGTAAAATCGGGACCTGTTTTTCACGAATGGCTGGTGCATGTTTGGAGCTAAGGCAAAAGCGTGCATAGCGTAGAGTGGCCAACTATATCATGATGATATCTAGACTGATTACCGTGTCATACGTTGGTCGTGCACACTACAGGGCGCCGCAAGGCCGCGAACGGAAAGAGTAACTCCTCACCCGGTTATAAATATAGTCTGAGATTCTCGTTCCGAAGGACATTTCACATATCCGTGCTTCTATCCTCAGGATACTGAAATCTTTCTCCTCCACGCCACAACCCTCCTCCGGGCTGGACATGCAACTTTATCTCATGCGGGCTGCTCCCTTGGAGCGGCACCGCTGCTCCTGAGGGAGCGCACCCCGTAGCCGGGTGCAGTGAGTGCCTTGGGGCTGGGTGGCCTGTCCTCTGGACGGGCTCGGCCCCGGCGACTCACTAGGGTGCCTGCCCAGACCAATGTCTCCCCCTAATTCCTATCATCCTTCCGGCTCTGCAATGGTCTTGTCGACCGAAAGGGCCTAACCCAACAAAACAAACAAACAATCCGAAGGACATTTAATCCTCGCCGGGAGTTTTTCGGAAGTTTAGGGGAGTGAAACTTCTCTGAGAGATTCCCTGCTGAAGGCGCGCGGTTCCCCGCGTGGGGGTCAGGAACAATATGGGGAGTTATATCAGAAAAATAGGGGAGTTGAGCTGCTATATTTTACACCCTAATTTGGGAGTTTGACACAATGTCGGGTGCTTAGGGACCAAAAAGGGGTGCTCGGCTGAAATTTGAGGGGTGTCACCTGCAGTCTAACGGAACCCCATGTGGGCCGGCGCTGACCCCCCTTTAGCGGCTGCGACTCCCCACTATGCGTCGAAACCCTCCTGGGGTGTACGCCAAACACCCCATTTTTAATAGCTCAGCGACTCCCCTCAAAACACCCCACTCGGGTGTTATTTTTGACATGACCGTCAATACCCCGTACAGGGTGTCATTTTTTCTTTCAGTGCACAGTTGGGGCTTGACTGTATTTCAGCTGGTGATGAATTTATTTTTTACCTATAAATATGCCAAGAAATGCTGTGGCTTACATATACTGTGCAATTTGGTGATTACTGCACTCATCAGACAATAGTCAGATAATGGATTAGGTACGTTACATATCGCAGCCAACACGTTATGCGCCAAACTCCATATAGAAGCGGACATTGGGGTTCAGATTGTTATTATGAGTAAAATATAAGTCATTTTCTTCATTAAACGGTTGTTTCTCTATGCAGCGATCATTTATGAAGCACGCCACACTTAGTTACCAACGAGCGATATCATAATAGCTCCATTTTTGGCAGTATACTGGCTGCGGCCGAGTGCGACGGTGGCGCCGACTATCGGCTACTCGTGCAACTAGGCCTCGCGGTGGCTCCGGCGGCCAAACTTCAGATGAAAACGTCCCTGTGTGGAGACTTAATGATAAACTGAAAAATGCGATATAATGCAATTAAATTCAGTAATATGCGTTTACCCTGACGTATTTTTTACCAATAGGTATTCGGGGAGAATTGGCACCGGGATTTGGCAGGAGAATATAAAATGTTTATGAACATTCCAAATTGTATTATACCTACATTGCATTGTCAAAATATGTCTCAATATATGCGAGAGGTCATGCTGTTTGCCGTAGTATAGCGAAATTGTTTCATGAAAGACTCAATACGAATATAACGGGAGTGATGTATCTTAATTTCATTTGGTGGTGCAAATATTTTTTTCTTCCATGTCCCGATCCCGGGTCGAATTTTTCTCTCCTATGGATAAAAAGTGCAGAGATGTGTTGCTCAGTTAGTGAGCTACAGCGTAGTATAGCGACATTTTTATGTAAGCTGCCTATTTTTTCATACTGTGCTAGTTTCCACGAAAATCCGTGCATACACTGACCAGTATTTTTTTCTTCCATGGCCAGATCCCAGGTCCAATTTTTATCCGCTATGGATAAAAAATGCATAAATATGTTGCTCAGATGGTTATCTACAGCGTAGTATAGCGACATTTTTATGTAACTACCCTATTTTTTCATATTGTGCTCATTTCCACGAAAATCCGTGCTTACGCTGACCAACATTTTTCTCTTCCATGGCCAGATCCCAGGTCCAATTTTTATCCGTCATGGATAACAAATACATAGATATGTTGCTCAGATAGCGAACTACAACGTAGTATAGCGACATTTTTATGTAACTTCCCTATTTTCTCACACACTGAGAAAAATCCTGACTCCGCATGACACCCCCAGGGGGAGTTCACCAAAACGACACCCCAAAACTCCCAGGTGGTACTCCTCATTACACCCCCTCCAAAACTCTCCATTACACCCCAAAACTTCCCTCGAGAAACTCTCTGTAACTCTCCCTACCGTTTTAGAAAACTCTTCATTTCTCTCCTTTATCCTATCAAAACAAACAACATACTCCCTGAAACTCCCTTCCATTACTCTCAATGACTCTCTTACTGCCTCAAAATTACTCCTGATTACTCCATTCCATTATTCCCCAAAACTCCGTTTACAGCTTCATGGTATACCTCTAGTTAGTCCCCATCAAACTCACCCAAACTTCCCATCACTCCACTCCAGCCCCCCCCCCGAAAATAAATATTGGACGAATAGCGTAACCACCCAAAGCTCGTGTACCGAAGCACAGATAAAAAATATATTTCAAGAAATGTGTATTCATAGTCCGGGGCGGTGGGAGGCTTGAAAAATTGACAAACGCTTCCGACATCCCGCCGCGGCACGCTCTCCGGGGATCTCACTTCATATGCTACACGGTCGCGAGTTTTGATGTAAAAAATCCAAAAGGCGGCCTACCACAGCAGGAATGCTTGGTCTGGTGGTGCCGCTACCACCTCCTGGGCCTCGACGAATAATGCGTCTTCTTCGTCCGGCTCTCCTTTCACGATGGTGGGATGGATATTTTGCGGGCCTCCGTTGGCTTCCGACGTGTCTTGCGGGATGCACTGCAGGCTCTCCAGCTCATCCCCTGCAAAATGTTAATAACCATGAAATTATACGTACACTTAACATTGCGTGGGAGGGGAGGAAATGGGTTAGAAAGAAAAAAGAGAAGGAGGGAAATAATGAAGGAGGGAGGGAGGGAAGGAGGGGAGGGATGAAGGAAGGAAGGAAGGAAGGAAGGAAGGAAGGAAGGAAGGAAGGAAGGAAGGAAGGAAGGAAGGAAGGAAGGAAGGAAGGAGGGAGGGAGGGAGGGAGGGAGGGAAGGAAGGAAGGAAGGAAGGAAGGAAGGAAGGAAGGAAGGAAGGAAGGAAGGAAGGAAGGAAGGAAGGAAGGAAGGAAGGAAGGAAGGAAGGAAGGAAGGGAGGGAGGGAGGGAGGGAGGGAGAGAGGGAGAAAGAAAGGGAGAGAGGGGAGAGGAAGGAGGGAGTGAGGAAGGAAGCGAGGAAAGATGGAAGGAAGAAATCAGGGAGGAGACTGAGAGGTAGGCAGATGAGACAAGATGGACGAGACGAGACACACGCAACCTGACGTGTTGGCACTGATACTGCATTTCGGCACATAATGTCAAAATAATGAAAACAAGAGATTGCAAAGTTAGAATACTTTTTATGGACTACAATTTTGATAAAGTTAAGTTTCAGTGAAAGTCTAAAGGGCAAGTTATAGGGGCTAGGAAAATCAAGGCTTTTATGCCAAGATAGTTTAATTTTCTGGCTCTGCTTTGAAAGCCCTTCAAATTTGATAATTGTCATTGACATGGATATTAAAACAATCGGACAATAACAAAGGATCCATGACGTGTAAAACTTGTGTAATCCTTACTTTCCAATTTATTCGAGGGAAATAATGTATGATATTTGCCAATACCTAGAAACTCAGAGCATGCTGTTTCCGATCTTTATCTCACTCAGGAACGAAACAAATCAATTACCCTTACTGAGACCATTCCAGCTCATCAAGAACATGGGGTTACCATATGTTCTCATCACAGCATTACAACACTTTGCACTATAAAAGCATGATGAGAAATACAGCTAAGCTTACCTTTAAATCCAAAGAAAGGTCCAATTATCCGTCACTGTATAGGTCAGGTCCGTCGAAGGCAACACGTTCTTCACTAACACCTCGCCCGCCGCCCCGCACAACGTGCTGTATACTACTTACACGCGCAAAAGATGGCGGCCACCGGCAGCCTCGCGCGACGTATGCTGAAACCCCTTCGTAACTCCCCTTTTACTCCTGTCGGAACGTTCGGGAAAAGTTTTTCGGGAGTAATGGAGAGCTGCGTCACAGAGTTATGGAGTGTCACACATGGAGTCATTTCGTCATCCATTAAGAACTCTTGAAAACTCTTTCGCAAAATGAGGAAGGCTCAAAGTTACCCTAGAACACACTCAATAACTCTGCTGGAAAGGGTGTTATCGATGGTTTTCAGGAGTTTTCAGGGGAGCATTTTCAAGAGTTTTGACCCATATGGAGTCAATTTTTTTCTCAGTGCACTGTGCTCATTTCCACGAAAATCCGTGCTTACACTGACCAACATTTTTTTCTTCCATGGCCAGATCCCGGGTCCAATTTTTATCCGCCATGGATAAAAAATACATAAATATGTCGCTCAGATGGTGAACTATACCGTAGCATAGCGACATTTTCATGTAACTTTCCTATTTTTTCACACTGCGCTATCACCCATCAAAATCCGTGCTCTCACCGACCTTAGTTCTCTGGCGTTGCCGATAGGCGGCGCTGGCGTCGCGTCCCGCGCTATGGCCGCGCCTGGCGCATAACGAATCAGCCGCAGATGCAATGGAAGTCGACATGACAGATCCATATGAGCTCCCCCATGTGGTCGGTGGGGTCTCAGCCCGTAGACATTACATTATTGATTTCCTGTGTTTTTGGATCATCCCGTAACGAATGGTCACACAAATGAGCAAACAACACTAGAAACATCCAATGAAAATAAAAAGTTTTTGAAATGTTTTGGACCGGGTTATCAGGAGTCTATAGGAATGCTTATTCATCAAAATTCTTAGACATTTTTGTGTTTGATTAGTATTTAAAAGACCAATCAAATAAGGCCTCATACATTCCCCAGCAAAACCATTTAAAAAGCTAATGAGTTATTTCAAACATCTCTACAGTCTCTTTTGTTATCCCTCACTCACTTGACCATGTAGAGGATGGTTTTGTCGTGATGGAGCCAGATGTAATGATTCGGGATCGTCATCTCCTGGAAAGTGACCTGCTTGGCGTTCTTGAAGTAGGAGTCGGGCTGCCAGATGTTGTTTAGCCAGGAGACGGGCAGGAGCCGATAGTCGGAGCTCATGTTGCTCGGAAACCGAAGGCGGTGCTCCATCCAGCTCTGGGCGAAAAATATGTCCGCCGCGTACGTCTGAAGACAAACAGATAGGCGTCAGCTTCTTAAGTGGCTGATTGCAGAGCAACGATAGGGTACAGCTGGGTGATTTATAAGATGGTATTGGGTCGAACAAGGACATTTAGATGCATTTGATTCTCTGGACGTTTTTGTCAGTGTGGTCCAGAAATGCAAGTTTTTGCCTTTTTGGTGTTATCCAATTATTTTGGCATTATGTCATGGGCACAGTTAAAACACAATTTTCGCTAGAATACGAGGAATTAACCCGCGCCCCACTGGGGTCTGCGTATAACACGCCCTACTGGGGGGGGGGGGGCTATTCATAGCCCCCCCTCCTAACTCCGAAACTACTGGGCCGATCGTCAAAATTCAAATGGCGTCTGATAGCCCCGGAAAAACTGTCGAGCGAAACCTAATTTCATTGACCTCGAGGTCACCGATGACGTCACAGGTCAGGTCAAAGTAAAAATTATTAGCATTTTGCTTGTTCACGTTTTGGGCTCTGGCCGCCGTCTTACAAGGCAGATCAGGCTCATTTTTGGATCACACACTCGTGAACAGATGCTCTAGATACCCCGAGGGTACCAAACTTGTACTTTGATTTTCAGGTCAAGGTCAGGTCATCACAGGTCACGAAAATATTATATCATGCGTCGGTCACGTGACACATGTTTTATGGTCCATTTAGTCCAGAGATTTCGAATGTGATGTCGACTGTGTCATTCGAGGTCATTTTGAGTCGAATTTAGCTTAGGTCAGGTCACTTTCAGGTCAAAAAAGGTCAAATTTTGAAGTTAAAATTTTTCAACAAAAAAGGTGTCTATTGGATGCAGTTTGAGCTCAGGAACACGATGGTGCTATTTATATTGGCGTACGATGTCAAATACGTGCTGAAAAATTGATTTGAAAGATTAATAATTGTGAATTTTTTGCAATAATGCGTAAAACTTGGCCATTTTTGAAGATATTTAGCTAAAACTTGCTAGGCTAGGGTTAGTCATGATAATGCGTTCTATCACATATATTCCGGTTTTTTCGAAAAGTCAAAAACTTTTTGAAAAAAAATGTAAAAATATAAATTTTGGATTTTATTATATCAAATTTTCGAAATTTTCAAAATTTCGAAAATCCGAGATAGCAGTTTGATAGCGCAGTCTATTCTGAGTCCTTTCATGCAAAGAAATTGGATCTAGCTTAAAAACTGAGCTCTTGGGAGCGATTGCCGTGGTTCAATGTTTTGCGTCGAAATCGGCCGAACATGACGTCACTCTGACGTCATTTCCGGCCGAACTGTGGCAGCTACGAACATAAAATTGTGACACAAGGTGTCAAATTGATGCAGACGAAGGTACTGAAAGTTTGGCGTCGATACGTCAAGCGGTTTGGAAGTTATTGCAGAAAAACGGGAGGGGGGCTATAAATAGCCCCCCCCCCCAGTGGGGCGCGGGTTAAAATACAAAATAAATCAAAATCGATATCGCTTTTATACAACTAATATCAATATCAATACCAAAGATCAATAGGAATCCATCGCCTTATTGATGGTTTTGCAGTCGCGGAACGTCCGATTGTGTATAGCAATGAGTGAATGAATCAGAAAACATCAACATAGTAACAATAGTTTACGCACCATTGACTCCTCGTTGATGGAGTCCAAAGTCATCACCGTGACGTGGAAATAGACGACAGTCGGATGGCCTGCAAAATAGGACATTCTGAAACATTCCCCATCACATCACTCCCGATTGGAAGGGCAACAGAATAGGGTCCCCACCGTGCATTAGTGCTGAATATTCAACATCAGGATCAGTTGAAATTGGCAGAGTAAATTACTGAGGCAGAAATGTAATTGCATTCGCACTAAAGCATCCCCATGCGAATGCGATTACGTTTGTTGATTATGATGTTTTCCAGGAATGATGTGTGTATGTGGCATTTATTAGTCCAAGTGGTAATAGACCAACGGCCACGATCATATAATATTTACATAAACTTGTCTTCTTGCTGCGGCTCAGTGACAGCAGAGCACCATTGATGCTTCAGCACTATACCTAAATGACCAGTGTGCAATGAACCCAGAGTTGGGTTCATTCAGGGAAACACAATTACAGACAGACGTCAGACAACCATAATGTTGGCCTTATATAATGGCTTTGTGCTTCGAGTGAGGTAAACTAGCTGAACTTTTATGTGAACCTTCATAAAAATTGCCGATAATGATGTAAAAATAAAATACCTCTGAAGTTTCCCTTTGAAACATAAGCAAAGGTTTGCGCTCTATTATCCGCACTGACCATTTTTTTAAAATAGAATGTGCTGCACCTGCAAATAACTTCTAATAAAAAACACACACAAAATTAGGCACGTTTTCCTTCCACCGATAACCTTTTGTTTTCGGAGGTGCCATCCGATCGTATTGCTTGGGGGGCTCCGGCAGAATATCTTCAAATACGAGAACCGAATCTTCCTCTTCAGCGCTGAAGAAGAAACCGAAACAGTTATCATCGGATGCAGTTTTGGATAGCATACATGGGCAACCATGGTTCGCTGGTTGCTCTACACTCCAAAATCCACATGCCTACATATGACGTAAATGAGGTAAGGGAAATGCTAAAAACTTTTCATCTGATTCATTATTACTTTTAACACGCGCACTGCAGGGGGGTTGTTTTCAACCCCCCCTGTGGTTTTTCGCAAATCGCGAGAAAACGGCGGCGCGTAGCGCCGCCAAATTTTGCATACCTGTTCTCCCAACTTTTGCACACCTTGAGTAAAAATTTTGACCCCAGGTGACCTATGGTCAGGTCACCAGGTCAGGTCAAGTGACCCTACCTCGAAACGTAAATTTCGAAGTTTGCAATCCCACCAAGCCCACAGTTGTTGAGTTATGATCTTGAAACCCATAGGAAATAGTAAAGTCATCACGAGCTACAACTTGTATATCTCGGAATTTTTATATCGATGACCTAAGGTCAGGTCATTTCTGCGACCGGCCCATTATAAGTCAATGGGAGAAATTTCAACTTACTCTGAATGCCATCCTATGACTTCAATACACTCAGGATCATAGTATTACAGGTCCCTGTTGGTGATTTCACCGAAACATATCACTTATGACCTTTGGAAGGTGATCTCAAGGTCATCTTAGGTCACCTGAGGTCACCAGCGGCTTTTCTTCAATAACTTGTGATTGAATAGAGATAGAGACTCCGTTCGACGTTTATCGTGTTTTTCTCGTCAATGCGGATCGAATGATATGCAACATGACCTATTTCGGTCAGGTCATGACCTTGACCTGAGGTCAATTTTTCAACTTGACCTTTCGAGGTCATATTATATATCATTCGATGCGCCTTGACGAGCTAAGAACGATGGCGTTCGAATCGATCCTCTGTCTTGTGTGCAAGACAAGTTATTAAGGAAAAACTACCGCGAAATTCCTGTTGTGAAAATCGTAACATTTTGTCTTCGGTGACCTCTGGTGACCTCGTTTTTGACCTGACCCAAAAATGATTTTTGTATTTCTTGTAGATCTTATCTCAACCTATCCAACGCCGTTTACCGCTTGTCGCTACGTTGCGCCGTTTTCGAGATCTCAGGGGGGGTTGTTTTCAACCCCCCCCCCCCTGCAGTTCGTGTTCGGCTCAGACCCGCTGCAGTGCGCGTGTTAAGTTCTGATCGACCAGATATCGTTTCATTGGGTAATTTTGACTCAATATATAAAATAGGATTGTATTCTTACCTGTTCTGATTCAGGTTGCCGGATTTCCTGCATATCACACATTTTTCATCTTCACTGCAAAACAGAAAGATGCAGATGTCAACATTTAAGTACTAGAGGCTGGGTGTGGACATGTCCCCCCCCCCCAAAAAAAAACACCATAGTATGCAAGCTAGTCTTTAGCAAAAATATCGACTGTGAAAGACCCCATCCCTTTCTCATATCATCCTTTACCCTCGTCCATCCAGCCAGCCCCAGCGCCTGGCCGGTTAATCAAAGTGTAATTGGCCCACGATCGGTCCCCATGGATACATCTTTGATGCGACCTTCTGGTGTCACCATATGGTACCCCCATCGTTCGACAGGCTACAATATTGATAACGCTGCTCCCCATCTGCTCTCCTCTGGCTGTACCGGTAGACCGCGGTGTATGGTGTTACGCCAGGACAGTGTGTGGTCAACTAAATACATGGTAGGTTTTGTCATGTGGTTGTGGCTAATCAATCAGTATAAATGCATGCATTAGCTGCTTCTGTTATTGAGCCACGCGCTGGCAGTTCTCTGAAAAAAATGAACAAGGTCGTACACCCCAGCTCACATATAACTGCGAATGTCTGGTTAAACATAAAGTCGGATAAAACATACCAGAAAAAATGAATAATTTGTAGGTTTTCCTCTCAACGTCTTCCCTGCGTCCATCCTTTCGGCTGTGAAGCTAATACACCTGCGTGACTGGCCGACATATACCAGCTGGAGCGAGTGATTCACTTTGATGCTGAAACTGCGCGCTTCCGCCGAACAGGGCGCTGAGGCAGTAAACTGGCTTTGTTCGCCTCTGGTTGATCCTCTGGCACTTCCTACAGGTTTCAGCCTGAATATAAACCGGTGCTCAACTGGCTCCCAGCCAAAGTAGTTAAGTCTACCTTGTCGGATCCGTCCATCCTTCGCAAAGATTCCAGTTTGCATATAATCTTGCAGAGTAGAGTGCAGTGAATGTAAACTCTCCACCTCCATTACCAAAAGCTGGAGATATAATGAATGTAAGCAAGAAAGCGGATGCAGCGATTCGTTTTGAAAGATGTTCCAGGAATGGTGTTCTGGAATTAACAGTTGTTTGAACTGGCTCGCACTCGACGCTGAGGCCCTATACGGAGCTTCCACTTCCATTTTACAGACGATAACACTTCAGGATTTTCATCGTATTTCCACTTCAGTTGTTCTTGAGTAGGTAATCGCTCCCTTCCACCCCGTTTTTTGCGCACGGCACCGTTTTGTAGCCTGTCTGTAGGCTGTCTGGGCCGCTGTGCAGGCTGTCAATGGCACGCGAGCTGGCACTCTCTCCGACCATCGATCGTATCTGGACGGCCGCTACTGTTTGTGGCTCCAGAGGAGACCTGCTGGCCGCAAAAACCACCCGGCTACCAGCGGTGGTTGCTCCGCCGCCGATCATCCCGATATATCTGGTCGGTCGCTCTTCGATATATGATCCGCCAAATCGACTGCTAGTGTTCCTGGTGGGGCGACGATCGGAGCGGTGATTGGTCCAGATCGGCGCGTGAGATGGCCATTTGGATGGCAAGTACCGCGGCTAACTGAGCTGCCAGATAAGTTTACAGCTATTACGCAGGAACCGCGCTATGAATTCCATCGCTTTAACTTTTGCTATACGAATTTATCACCGTTTACATGGGATTGACAAACCCTTAATACAAAAAATACAACTGTCTGACTCGTAAGCAGCATGATCTTCCAGCTACCGTCCTGGACCATGAACGCGCCCTATCGTTCTCTGGATGAGTGCCCGGCTGACTGGATGAGTGCCTGTCTGTTTAGATGAGTGCCCGGCTCGCCGGCTGACCGGCCGGGCAGTGGGCTGAGTGGCGCGATCACGACCCTCCCCGATACCCCATCAGGGCGGACACAAAGCGACGAGCACGCCGGCCCGTCCGGGAACCATTGTGAAGACCGCTGATAAGTGCCATGTTACTGGGTCAGCCATAATGCCGGCCAGGCCGCGGCCGCAGCCCGGGCGGGGCCGGGGGCGGGGGCGGGGGCGGCAGGATGCCGAGGAGCTGGTCGTCGGTACCGACGCAGCTGGTCGTCGGCACCGACGGAGGAAATGGCGCACGTCCGACACGACGTCTGTCCGAGCACCGCGGCGGTCTGACCCGGCAAACAGAGCTCCAGGTCGAGGATTAGTTTTCTGGCATTACCATACACACAAGTCGCCGCCGGTAAGAAGCTTACCGGTAATCATTAGCCCCGCTAATATTCTTTGTGCGTAGGATGATGCAGTAGGCACCTTGTTTGCTTCCGAACTTGACAACTTTAAATTGAGTTATTGAAGTTTCTTGATAACCTTTGCATAAGAAATTAATGCAACTTTTTCTTGAACGAGCGGTATACGACATACGTGTTTTCATAATCCACCGTGCACTCAGCCATAAATTAGCCATATCAAGCGTTTAAGCCGCAGGCTTGTTTTGCTAATGGTCATTCAGGTGTCTTTAATTGACCATTAGGAACCAAAAAAGACTGCCGAAACAGCTCAAAATGGTGGTCCTTACCTGAATGTTATCCAATTATCTGAAATGACAGCTCAACTTTTATTGTTACTAATGTGCCCTTGCACTAATGTCTTCCGAGAACTTCGCTGACCGGCATACGAACGCCAACCACTTAAATCACATCGCAACGGTTACCAAGCAGGAAAACGGATTAAGGTCAGACTACTCCTACCTACGCATGTGTAGTGTGTACTTAAAAACAAAGTGGCGGTCAGATCGTTGCAAGGGAAAAAGGAATGCCTATATGTTTTATTTTTTGTGGATGTTCCGCGCTGTTTTTCATGAAGATGTTGGCTGAGCAAAGTTATTTTGCTTCACTAAAAACACCCAGTACAACGCCTAAACAACCCTTACGGCAAAACCAGAGCTCCTACATCGAACAGTTACTTTTTGTCTTTTGAGGTGGAGCTTCTCAATGGTTGTGGTGGAACGTCAAAATACACAAAGCTGATTTCGTTTTCCGGAAAAGGACAACATTCTTTCATTAAACTATAGCTTTTCCCCAACCTATCCAATTAAAGCTTCAGTTGGGATTGTGCAAAACAGGACTTCTAGAGCTCTGAAGTGCCCGTCTTCTGACCAAATACTTTTTGAGCGAACAACTCCTTGTAAACATGTCACAGACCGGCCAAAGTTCGTAAATAATACCAAGCTGTTGAATGGATGAATAAAAACAATTTAAAGTACAATTAACCATCCGTTTGTGAAATAAATTGCATATTATCACATACAAGTTTTGCTACAAACGATGCAAAACTAAAAAAAAAACTACAAACGAAAATACAAAAGTTCCCCATCGCAAGGCAAATTATGCAGAACCTTGTTTCAAAGATCCTGCATTGAAACTCTGAATTCTGAAGCACCAGCTGTTGCTTCAAGCTCCTACTTATGCCACAGGCAGTCAGGAATGACAAATGCAAAACAAGCGTCAGCTCTGAGACACAAGGAGCGGATATTACTTGAACCGCTGTACTCGGAAACAATGTCCCTAATCTCAAACTATCTGTCCTTGTCGTGGAGCTCCAGCTTGTTGTCTACGCCACTACGCCAGCAGAACGCAGCTGCACTAGCCCCAGGAACAATAAAAAATAGACACAAACTGTCGCCAACTTGGATCGCACAAGCAATCTCATGAATATCTAATGAACTCCGTGAGCCGCTGGGTCAGTGCCTCTGCCAGGTCTACCAGTATGAGGGTCAGATGAGCGCGGCTGTAGCAGGCTTTGACGCCAGATGCCTACCGCTGATTAAGACAAATTGTTTTATTTTACCTTTGTGTGGCTCATCAACCCAAAGTTGTGAATATGATGATGGAATCTGATTAGCCGGCCTGATTGCTGAATTTTAACTGGACGTTCCCACGGGAAACTTTCCCAACTACTCGGGCCGACAGACAGCACGCGACGGGGGCCACTCGCTTGATTCGAGTCAGGATAGGCTGTGCCGCAGCGCACGGATGTATTGCGGAACAGCATCAAACAGTGAAACGCTGAGGCGGCGAGGCTCTGAGCAGAGGCGGGAAGACGGTGACTCTTTCAAGCACTAGCTTCCTACGCTACCGTACGAATGCTCGATTTGTGACATACTGTATGTATCCATTCCCCTGATGTTTATGTCCTATTAGTACCCAAAGTTTTCCTCTCGACAATTTCACTCCCCTCGCAGCGGAGCGCTCACCTGTCTCCATTTTCTGGCGGATGGGCGTCACCCCCCGACGACTCCGTATCCTCCCTGGGCGGCACGGGCTCCTCGCCGACGTGTGTGTCCTGTTCCGGAAGAGCGCCAGCGGCGGGTCGCTCGCCAGGCGGCGGCGGCCAGCTACCATCGTATTCACCCAGCGGAGCCGCAGGCTCGCCATATTCGGCAGCCGGCAGAGCTAAGTGGTCATGCTCCGATATCGGGGATCCTAGGTCCTCGTCTATCGATGATCCACGAGACACGTCTTCATATAGGGATGGCGTCTCTGCGCCCCTGGACGGCGGCACCGGTTCTTTGTAGACCGATGACGGCGGCGGCGGCTCGCGGTAAACTGGTGTTCGAGGGCGCTCCATGTCCGTAAATGGCGGCTGCTCCGGGCCCTGGGCGCCGTAGTGATCCGTGCCAGGAGTTGGATACTGAGCAGCCGGCGCCACGGATGCCGCAGTCAGAGCCAGGGTCAGCGTCAGGAGAAAAAGCAGCATCGCAGCGTCCCTTGGTAAACACCACTGAAAAAGACGGAGAAAAGGTTACAGATGGTGTAGGGGAGAGTGGGGCAAAGCGGCCACCCTAACGCTTCTCACGATGCCAACGCTTGATTTTTAAACTTGGAAAGATTCTTTCTATACCAACGTGCTCCCTATTAAGTTGCCTTTTATTTCAACTGCGTTTTATTTCCAAAGGCGTTCACATATGAAAGATATTGACAAAACTTTAAACCTATGCATATTGGCCACTTTGCCCCATACCCAGGGGCAAAGCGGCCACCGGCGTCTTCTCAAGTCCCGATATGAGAAACAAAATAGTTGTCTTGTGTACGACTACGGTATTTGATGGTGACAAGGTTAAGCGAGGATGGATGTTTACTTTATCATCTTCCACCCGTAGGTAAACAAAGAAAGGATTTTCATTAAAATAAACATTGAATTGCATTATTTGGTAACTCATGCAACTGAAAACTAGCCAAGATAATTGCATGACGACACATTTGAATATAAATTATGTTTTTTATCCAGATGGAAACAACTTATGGCCAATTGGGGGGTGGCCACTTTGCCCCGGCCACTTTGCCCCGCGCATACCGTCCGAGACAAAAATATTCCAGCTTAGCTATTAGTGGGGTAAAAAACATTAAAATTGGTAGAATACATGTACGATAACCATGCAATGCATGGACAAGAACGCTTATAAAAATTCCAAACGGTTATGGAATAACATAACATTTAAAAATTGTAAACATAGTTGGTAACCTGGCAAGAAATGCTTTTCCGTGTTTCACAGAACAATGGTGATGGGCCTGAAACCCCGGTCTGGCTCATTCGAACGATCGTGAAGAGAAGTATAATTGGAAACCATAAATTGGAACTGACGCCAGTCATGAAGGGCTAAAACGATGGGTGGCCGCTTTGCCCCGGGTGGCCGCTTTGCCCCACTCTCCCCTAAACATTTTCACTAGGACCATCTTCAATCGTACGTCAATAGAAATATTTGAAAAGTATGTTTAAAATGGTTAAAATAATTGTTCACCACTTAACATGAGCATTGAGCAATGCATTACTTAGCGACGAAAATAACTTTCAGCGTCGGCGCTCGTTCAAGGTCCGGGCCAGTTCAACTTTTGAATGTTATTCAAACTCCGAAAGATGTGACGGATGTAGAGCTGGCCTTTGGTGTCGGGGGCATTCCTGCTATCTTCAACATTTCAGAAAGTTAGCGGATATCAAGAAAGTCAAACTTTACTATAGATAGCGGTTCCACCGGAGCTTGTAGCTGACGGGAGTTCAGGAAACTTTTATGGGACCAGCGCCGTTATTGTTTCAATAGGAAAACAAAGCTAGCAAATGATAATTCAGCTGTTGGTAGCTTATATGATAAGCATGTGGCAGAATGTCATTTATGTTCGTTTAACAAATTCCTTCGTGGTAACATCAAAACATATTTTCATTATCTAGGTTTACGCAGTAATTGTTTGCTTCGGCGGTAGACATTCGAAACAGCTACGCCGTATTTACGTGAGTTGAGAACCCAACAAAGTTAAAATATTGTGTAGTATGTATTGCCTCTCGTTCTTACTTCCCCTTAGGAATGCCTACATAAACTTTCGGTCACGACCTTAGCAAAGTTCAGTAGAGATGGTGTCCTAGAGAAGAGATCCTGAGCAGAACCTTGGATCGACTATGCGCTGGAGCCCATCAGACGTTCAAAATTTAACAATCAAATGAATCAATGGCGCTGCCGTGGGTAACGCTGCAGCAGCAGTCAATAATTACGGTAGGTATGCGTCGTTCGCACCATTATTTGGCAATACATCAGCTGGGGCAAACACGGGCCAGGTGCTGGCGTGCTCGCCCCGGCCAATAATTCATTGACCCGCCGACACCATAATGTTGCATTCATCAGGGCTAAACACGCAGAGGTCGGCAGCGTGATGGATGAGATAACACGTAATGCACATAATTGTAAGTACAAATAGTCATGGGCTACCGAAGGAATGAAGAGCGCGCAAAGTAGTAACAATGGTTTATAAAATGATTTTTGCAGCTCACTGCTAAAGTACTACATGGTCACGAGTCAACTACAAAAATAGATTCGTAAAGATGCTGGATGACAGCTAAGGAAATCCACATATCCGCTGAGCTCATAAGGCTCCCTGAATCTGACAGCTAAGGCGGCTGACTCGAAATGTTCTGCAAAGAATACACTTCCGGTGCTCGCGTTTCGTGCGGCGCCCCTCCCCCTTTCTGTCCCGGGCTGTCATCCTGGCGCGCCACCATTGTCACCGCGCGACGACGTGCGCCATTGTTGTCGCGGCACAATAGCCTCACGGACGATTACAGCCGCCGTATGATTACCAGACTGATAAGACGCTGTGACGCCTGCCCGCCAGGCAACTGTCATGGAAACGCCAGTCTGTTCTTCACGCGTCCTGAGCAGTAACGGGCTGCTCTTCCAGAAATAAAATGGCTGCCATTGGAGACCGAACACCAAGACCGCGTCTCTTTGATAATGTGAATGATGGAAGAGCGAGGTGGAAAACTGTCTGCTAAGAGGGCTCATGCTATAGAAAACAGCACATAACTGCATGGGCGCACAAAGCCAAGGTGCTATCTAAAAGAAAAATGAGCGACCGACGAATGGAGTCTATGCAACAACCCGTGCATATGAAAGGGAAACTCTTTGTCGTCGTGATTGATCATGAGCTAAGCGCAATAATTCATGGTATCTTGCTAGAATCAAACCATGCATTTTTCGTTGAACCGCACAAAACATTTTGCCAGCATCGTTGTCGGCATTGCCTTGATTGAACTTATGTCAAGAGATCACCCAAAACGCCATTAGAGCCTCAATCTCATTTTTTCTTTTCATTGTGCATGTTTTAAAAGACTGTTTTTTACAAGAGATCACCCAAAACGCCATTAGAGCCTCAATCTCATTTTTTCTTTTCATTGTGCATGTTTTAAAAGACTGTTTTTTACCTCTAGATTTTATAACTTTCTAAGGTCCGCTCTTTCTGCTGCGCATTCCAGAAGGAAAGTAACAAGAATATGGAAAGCCTCTACCCTACATATCCCACTCTGACGCACCCTGTGACAGGAGCCAACTCCAGACTCGGCGCGGGCTATATGAACTGAAACTAGTTTATGATGCAATAATGACAACGCTGTTCAGAATAGCAATGACAGATTCACGACATCGCGTGTCATACTTCTTCCTCCGTAAAAGCCAATATCTTGAGGAAGGTCTGAGGGTTTAAATGACCGGAAACGTAGCCAACTTGTCGACCAAAACTTAGTTGCCCTCATCTCCGTCTGCTGGAGAAACTCGAACCTCACACCGGTCGCGGATCGGTTCACCCCGATTGAGTGCTAAGGCGGCAGCTGTGCCCTGCCCCGCTGCGGTGACCGGTTTGAGCCGTAACGCCCCATCGGCGGCCGGTCGCAGCCCGCCACGGCGCACGGCCTGCCTTATTGAATGGCCATCAGCGGCGGCCGGCCGGCCCGGCGGCGTTACGGGCCTCTATTCTGGGTGGTGATGGCTCCACGGGGCGTGGTCGGTGCCGACGCCACGATGGGCCGCAGCTGGCCGGCACGTCTCTGCTCCCACCGCCGGACACTGCGCCGTGTACCAGCCGCGGCCGACGCCACACGGCAGCGGGCAGCACGCCACGGCAAAAACGTAATCACAACGGGCGGCGCCACTTTTTGTGACAAGAAAAAATGCTTCTTCTGAATAGGTGTCGAGTTCCTGGTAATAAGCACTGCATTGAGCACGACAGGTGCTTCTTCATGGCGCTTTTTATCATTACGCTTTTGACGACTTTGCGTTGGATGTTCACTGTTCTGGGATTGCGTATTGACCACATGCTCCTTACCACATGCTGCTTGGACTATGAACAATTGAACATAAACACAGAAAAGGAGAGGAGCGGGAAAGGAAGGAAGGAAAAGAGGAAGAGGGACGGTATGAGTAAGGGGAAATGTGTTGTGTGTACTGACCGGGGTCACCCAGCGCCGGGGGCGGGCGGCCGGGGCAGATCACTCTCCGTCCACGCAATAACCGGTGGCTACGGCACAATATCAGAGGGCCACGTCGTCACCGGGCCGGCAATATCAGCGGCCCGCGCGAGGAAATACATTGACGTGTCGGCCGGCGCTACATCAGCGATCGCCAATGGTGCGAACCGGGTCAGTGCGCTGTGACTGGTGCGACGACTGCACCCGGTATCGCGCACCAGCAGTTGCACCACCCAACCCCCCCCCCCCCCCCCCCGCACTCACACACACACAGGGATCAGAGGGAAAGTGGTTGCAGTGGTTGCAGGTTTTTTTGTTTTTGTTTTTTTGCTAGTGCCTTCTTGATACTAAAACGTGATGCTGGAGAAAATGCATGTGTTTTGTTTTGTTACATGCCTGGATGTTTTGACATTTTTCAGTCGATTTTGCTGATGGTCTGAATCCTGATCACTTATAGGCAGACATGTGCTTGGATCCGGAAAAATGAATCTGAGATCCGATCCCATGGATCCCGATCCGAGATCCATTCAGATCATAGATCCAGCCCCTCAATTTTTTCGAGAGATCTACTGGGATCATAGATCTGACTCTTCAATTTTGTCGCTAGATCCACTCGGATCATAGATCTGGCTCCCCAATTTTGTCGTGAGATCCATTGGGATCATAGCTCATAGGTGCTCAAAATGTGAACAACTTTCTTTCATAAGAAGTTATGAATACCAAAGTATGGTTAGAAACAAACAATCTTATACAAAGGCCATATCAGTAAAAGCATCCAGTTACATTATACAGAATACAAAATAAAGGAGGCTCATGACGGACACAACTTGAGAGAATTGAGTGACATGAAGATTGTTCACAGTTCACATACCAACAGAAAAGTTTGCATTAACAATTAACATAGAGGTAAGTCAAAGTAATGACTAATGAACAATACATAACTAGGTACCTACCACATCACAATTTATGTTAGAATCTACATAATGATATTGATA